CCTGGCGGAACATGCGCTGCTTGTTCATTCTCTGTGTGTCCTCGTTTGATTCCTAAAAACTTTTGTCCTGCTGAGTGCTGCTCTGCTCTGAGCAGCCCAGTGTGTCGTCACGTAGCTTAGCGTCTTTGTACAGTGCTGCGAACACCACACAGCTTTGCCTTCCAGTGTTACCTGGAGAGAGACCACCCCCACCCCTCAGGTGATAAGAGGTAAACACAAAGAAGTGATTGTGTTCTTGTGTTTATTCCACCTGAGGCGGCGGCTACATGTTAGTCCTCGACCTCTGACTTTGTAGAGCCAAGCTGTATCCTCCCAGTACAAACCCAGAATGCCCCAGTTCAGTCAGTAGAGCTGTTGCTCTGTTTTTCAGCTACACAGTCGGACAGTAAAAGTAGAGCTGATTGGCTGCTTTCAGTGAAGCCCAGTGTTTCCATAGAAACTAGAATAAAGTCTGGAGTGGTGATTTTACTGTCAGCGAGTCTGAGAAATGATGAACAAATAGACTTTAAAGAAACTGTGACTACTGTCATCACGTAACAGTTTCTCTGTGTGTCCTCTTCTACCTCTGTTGCTGCCTGCAGGCAAAGAAGAGCCCCTACGCCTTCCTGTGGGACATGGCGGTGCTGGAGTACGCAGCCCTGACCGACGATGACTGCACCATCACCGTATCAGGAAACAGCATGAGCAGTAAAGGTTACGGCATCGCCATGCAGCACGGCAGCCCCTACAGAGACCTTTTCTCCCAGAAGTAAGTGAGCCGGTGTTCACGAGGCGGGTCAGAGAGGGGAAGGGCAGTCTGAGCAACATGCAGACACAAGGACATGGAGGGAGGTGTTCAGAAGTGCTGCAGACATGGTAGAAAGCTGCTGCTGTGTCCACAGAGGAGGTCTGGTTGGAGCGTTCTTCAGTGAAATTTCAACCAGTTTTTACTCCCGTCCCTTGTTGCCGTTTGTTTGTTCCTTCTGAGTGATTGTAACACTGTGGTCGTGACGTGCAAAGATACTGATTCAAGTGCAGGTGTCACTATTGTAACATTACAGATTTGGACAGACTGAATAGTGATGAGCCCAGAGTTACAGCAGTGAGCACAGTTACAGCAAGTTAATTTAAAGTGCTCAAACTTAGAGGACAGTAAAGTTACATCAGCAGTTAGTGCATAAAGTTAATTTGCCACTATAATAAAGCTACCAGTTAATAGGCACAGGGGCACAACACAGTCAGTGCAGTAAAAACCTACAGGAAGCTTTGTCAGTTATTTTTATACCCGAGGTCTACACACATTCAGATGTAAGTACAAAGTGAGAAGTAGCAGAGATTCAGCCACTAGATATTTAAAGAAAAGGACTTAGTGTGCAAAGAGCATGAGAACAGTGTTTCTTTGTCATATCACAGTGACAACCCGCCTGCCGGAGTGCGATGTGTCCTGCAGGTGTTTGTTGTGTGTCGAGTCGCAGCTGCAGACAGTGCACCTCTTGCTGTTACAGATCAGAGGTTTTTTGCCAGTGAAAGAAAGATGATGTGCAGTTAATGATGAAGCTTGGAGGCTGTTGTTGGAGTGTGATCCTATGTGCTGACATGAAGTCTTCATTATCAGCCTGTAAATCCTTCGCCGGCAGTTACAGCAGACTGGGTTTCACTGTTAGTGTGTCAATGAGAGGCTGCAGGATGAAACAGTCACACTCGTCCTCTTGTTCCAGAGTTTGCCAGAGCTCTGCGGGCGCTGGTAACCCGCAGGGTTAACACAGTGTTTAGTGTTGAGTGGAGCGATTCCTCTGCATTGAATCAATATCAGTGCTTGATGCTAAAGTCATTTAAGCTCACATGAAAGGAGCTCGTATTAGGCAGCACTGTTGTAAATCAGATGGGATTATTCATGGTGTGATGTGTAAACCCAGGGATGTGTGCCAGCGACTCATCTGAATCTGTGAGGCATCTTGCCTCAAGATAGTCTGGAAATCTTTAGGAAATTCAATTAACTGCTTCAGTCTGAGCTGAGGATGAAGCCAGTAAGCTGCCGAGTGAACCCTTGTCACAAATTAATCCCAGCGCGAGTTTCAAATCTTTGTAGATCATTCAGCAAATCTCCACATTATTACTTCATGAATTAACAGTGAGAGGAGCCACATAAGCTCCAAAAACTGTTCTCATGCGCCTCGTATTGATCAGCTGCCACAGAGCAGACGGGAAGCTGCTGTAAAAACATGAGTTGACAAACTTGGCCGTTTCAACACAGTAAAGAGAATTGTTTCTGTGTGTGGGATCACAGACCGTGTGGGTCATTAATCAGATATTTGTCTCACATACGTGTGTGAAATGCTTCCACATGCTACTGAGCAGGCTCACACATATGACTGGAATAGTCACACTGGGTTTCACATGCTGTTCACTACTTCAGGGTCACCTCCATGTTTTCAGTAGTTATCAGTGTTAATTCACAGCAGCTTGAATACACCTGTGTCGCTCTGCCTACAACTGAAATCAGACACAGTTGGGACAGACAGCGCTGCTGCAGACGTTCCCACCGATGTGCTGCTTTCACTCTTCACCTGGAAAGTCTGGACCCTGTGCTGCCGGTTCATCATTGTTCTTTCCTCATCCACAGCCTGGAGCCATTTGTGGCTCATTCTCCTGCTACAGGACGAAACCCAGCTCTGGCTTCCTGTGTTTGTGGCCTTTTTCCAGATGACACTTCAGAGGGAGCAGTAACAGTCTGTTCCACTTCTGCCTTTGTACAGAATCTGTTGCCGTCAGTTGTCAACAACAGTCAGGACCTGTAGGAACTGTAGCATCATTTTTCAAGGCTTCATTTACTTCACTGCTACAGAGAAGATGCAAGTTCACCTGCTACTGATCCCAAGGATGCCCGGTTTATATAAAAATTTACAGATGTGTCTTTTTGTTTTACCTCTGGCAGGTTACTTCTTAGCTTTGTACCATTTAAGGTTCTTGACTGGACTCCAACTTGTTCATTGCCCATGGAGGTGAGCCCAGACTTTTGAACAGCAGTATATATAATGTGATAAAACCTTTACTATAACGTGAGCATGTGAATAATTTCAGTAAAGTATGAGTGATTCTACTTGAGAAGGAAGATGCTCTCAGACCACACTGCCTTCTGCTATGAGTAAAATCACACATACGCTAAGAATTATACCATGTGTTCAGCTGAAGCCCAGTGTGACCATTCTAATTATATGTGAGTATTCTCCCATGTGTATGTGGGAGGCAGACATCTGATTAATGGCCGACACTATGAAATCCGCATCATGGGGTGAAAGCAAAAGTTCAGTGTTTACAGTAATTGGTGTTCAGTCAGCTGCTCTCAGTCTGCCGGGGGATTTCTGTGCCGTTCATTCTTCAGTAAAAGTAACCGGCCTTCATCCCGTTCTTTGACTTGTCCACACTCTCAACCTCTGGTCCCAGATCAGTTTGTTCACCTGAGGGGACCATGTCTCGGTCATCGTCCCCCCCAGGTCCTCGTCCCTACTCTTTAAGGAGCTGTGTTTATTTAAAGATTAGAATAGAGAGATCAAAGAATAGTGTTTTTGCACC